CTTTTGCTTGATTATATGGAGTTTAGAGTTGTATATAATTTAATTAGAATTTTTGAAAAATTTGTGATTTATTTGCTTAAAAGAGAAATTTTGAGAAAAATAAAGAGTTGATGCCCAAATTGCGAAAGTATAAACTTGGAATATGTTTATAAGGTTATGAAAGAGTTATGTTTGAAATTTGAACAAAAACGGACTTTTTGATTCGATCAGCATTGGGTTTTTTGTGTTTGACGCTGTAGCTGCGCTTTGAAGATTGGTTTCATCAGCCACCGCTTGTAGCGTATAATCAATGTATATGATGAAATTCTTTTATCTACTGTTTCAGACCTTACATCTATTTCTACCTTTCCAGTGTCATGTGATGTTGATTATGACTATTAAAAATCAATCATATCTGTACATTTGATCCATGTGCCTAAATTTATTTCCACATTTGTGATAATTGTTTAAGTATACTCATGACTGCCCTTTAATGTTAAATCAGGTAATTGTGATAAAAATTGGCGAGTGATTGATCATTGTGACTAAATAGAAAGTCCACTATAGAAACTTCGTTGACACTATCATAAACCTTGATGTGTAATTATATGAATGGAAAAATATTTTATTATGAAGAAATTGTTATTTTTATTTTTAATATTTTATTATGGAGAAATTTTAATATTTTTAATATTTTTATCGTAGGATGTTTTTTTCTTTTTTGCGACGGCATTACACCGTTGCAAAAAATAGAAAGTTTTAATATTTTTATTAATTTTGTTACAGGTTTTACTTTTTGCGACGACATTATACTGTCGCAAAAAATAGAAATTTTATTATTTTTTAATACTTTTTGCAGCGGCATTACACTGTCGCAAAAAATAGAAATTTTCATAATTTTAATACTTTTTGCGACGGCACCACATCGTCGCAAAAAATAATGTTTTTACCGTTGAAAAAAAAGACTATTAGCGACGGTATTTTTTGTCGTCTCAAATAACATTTTTAGCGACGGTAAAATAGTGTCGTCGCAAAAAAGTCAAGAAATTTCAAACGTTAGTAGCGACTGCACAGTGCCGTCGCAAAAATGCAAAAATGCCGTCGCAAAACATTAGCGATGGCACTGTGCCGTCGCAAAAAATTTTTTGCGAGCCCTGCATTTGCGACCCCCCTCTTGCCGTCGCAAAAAGTATTAGCGACGGCATTAGGAGTATTAGCGACGGTATTTTACCGTTGCAAAAAGTCAATTTTTTTGTAGTGTCATCATGTCATCCCTTTCTGTTTCGTGCACTAGGAGACAAAATGGATACCTTGACTAAAAAGGATCAACATACTCTTCTTGGGCTTGTAGATAATTTGGCAAACTGTATCCTAGAGGACCATGTTGTTGAGGGGGCCAAGGGTAATTTTGTTGAGGTGGCTAAGGATAGCTCTGGCTATCATTGCTATAGGATGGTTAAGGGTGATATGGATAACTTTGACTACTATCAGATGAATCAAGCTATAACGAGTTGAATCAAATTGAATTTATACTTTAATCTCAGTTTGGGATTTATTTTAAATTATTAAACTCCATTCATTTTGGACCCAATTGATTGAATTGTGACCCGTTAGTAACCATGTAATAGTGTTGTGGTTTTATTATTATTATTTAATTACCATAAAAGAGTTGTGAATATTTATGATGTGTACCATTAAACGAAATATGTTTTGTAGTGATAAAATATTATATTTACTTTTGTCATTAAAGATATTGAAATGTATTTTTAATTGATATATATATAGGTGTATATATATAGTTAGATATTTGTTTAGGAAATATCTATTAAAGTGACCAAATGGAATATTTTGTCCAACTTTTGGGAATTCTTGGAAATCTTGCCATGAAGAAAGAAGAGAAAAGGGTTCCAATGTTAGTTTTTTTTGGGTTTGATCTAGTGTAAGTCATTTTTTACCCCTAGTGCTTTGGATCAAAACGTAGAGGGCGGAAAAGACGTCGTTTGGCTCTAAAAAAAATTTAATTTCTGTTGCCGAAAAATTTGAAAGCTTCTTGGCTTGAGGTAGGGATTTTTCCTACACTTCTTTATGTACTTTTACTTGATTATATGGAGCTTAGAGTTGTATATAATTTAATTAGAATTTTTGAAAAATTTGTGATTTATTTGCTTAAAAGAGAAATTTTGAGAAAAATAAAGAGTTGATGCCCAAATTGCGAAAGTATAAACTTGGAATATGTTTGTAAGGTTATGAAAGAGTTATGTTTGAAATTTGAACAAAAACGGACTTTTTGATTCGATCAGCTTTGAAATTTATACCGTTTTGCGACCAAAAGAGCATTTTTAAAGAAAACAAAAGAATTACGTTTAACTTTTAGGGCTTTTGATCAAAATAGGATGTCATAGTTGAATAATGCTTGGAAAATGAGTTTGGGAAGAAAATGATATTTTCTTGGGCATTAATGGTATTATTTTGCTTAATGTATCTGTTGGAATAAAAACGATACGATTAGAAATAGAACTTGAGAGGTTACCGGACGTGATTGTGATATGAAAACTAGTATAGTTGTTCATATTTGATGAGATGTGGAATAGATTGTATTTATTGGAATTTTTGGAATTTAATTGTTTAAATATCTGTTTAGAAATATTTGTTTTGAGCTACCAGTGGAGGATAGCCATGATTGTTGTAGAAATGCATGAGACTTAGGTAAATTGAACCACATTACTCATTTGTTGCATTGGACATATCATTACATTCATTTCATTGGAAATGTATCTGTTTTTTAGAAATGTTTGGAAATGTATTTATTTGCGAAAAGATGAATACTTGGTGAATCTGGGTAGGGAGTGTGGAACCGCACGGTTAAGTGTCGAGCCTTCCAGTTTACTGGTAAAAATGACAGTGGTAGTGCATTAGGGCCTACTTGCAGACATTCACCTAGAGATTCACAGAGCTTGTATTCATGTAACAGATATGGTTGAAAATAGAAATGGGTTTATATCTGTTGTTGCATCTCAGCATTGCATGCTTTATAAAAAGAGAGATAAACTATTTTATCATGAGCATGGCATGAGCATACTCCTCTTTAGTCTTGTCATAGTCCATATGTTGTGTAGTATATCTCTACTGGGCAATGGCTCACCCTATAAGGGAAACCATTTCAGGTATAGGTGATATGCCTCTGCCAAGGCATTGACTTGGGAGGACTCAGAGTTGAGGGTTCATTTTTGTTTTATGGTTATTTGTTGAATGTAAGCCCGGGGCTGTATTTGCATTGAGTTGAAACTCCATTTTGTTTAATCAAGAATGTTCTTGGATAAATTTGTAAGCTTGTAGGGCACTTATTATCTGTTTGGTTTCCATTTCATACTTGTTGTAAAATGCATGCTTGGGATTGGAACTGGGGCATTGAGATGTGAATAACATGTATTTGGCATTTGGGATTTAATGGAAATGGATGTATGGAATAGTTAGCTATATATATGTATTTGTCTATCAAGTGGGTTTTGTTGCATAAATAGATATATCTTGCCCAATTTTCAGGACGTTACACAAACTGTTGTCCCTTACTTCTTATTCTTCTTTCATCCCTGCGTGTATGACTACCATGAAACCTCCTAGGTAGTTGGGGTCAAGGTGCAACAAGTTCTCCAATATCATAATGCTTCCCAACATCACATAATCCAAATCCTCAAATAAAATCTTCACTTCTCGCACCAAAACTAGTACCATCACCATCATTACCACCATTGTCGCCACCACCACCACCGTCACCGTGAGAAGTGCCTTCACCATCACCATCATCACCTTCTCCATCAGATGGTGTTAAACCACCACTATTATCACTTTGAGTTGGAGTAAGAGTTGAGCTTTGAGAAGTGCGTCGAGCTTGATATCTATGGGTGCCACCATCATCATTTCCATCGCTGCCATCGCCATTGCTGTCGTCGCCACCACCACCATCATCATTTGAGACCAAATCTAGCCATTCAGAATTATCCACACCATCTAGTAAAGGATTTTCCCTTTCTTCTATCTATGGACTTATTGGATTATCTTCTTCAAATATGTAATCCAAGTTAATAGGATTAAAACTCCTATCAATCTCCTATTGGCTGCTTCTTTTAACGTGTCTCAATTTTAATCTCACGTTGTAGGTGATGAAGACTAATCTTTGGATTTTCTTGTATTTCAATCTATTCCTCGTCATCATATGGATGAGACTAAAAGTACTCCAATTACGTTCACAGCGAGATGATGTGGTGGTTTGACTTAATACTTTCACAGCTATTTTTTGAAGTTCAAGAGCACAACTACCATGAATAATCCACCACTCAGCTACACAAAATTACATTACATTAGACATAAGTCAAAATATGATAGAAAATTATTTAAGTATTCATATATTGTAATTTTGTAATTTTGAAAATAAAACCTGGATTTGATTGTTTCCATACTCTTTGTGCTAAAGGAGTGCCAAAAGTTTCTTGTTTATCTCGAAACAGCAACAACTACAATTTGGACAATCGTTACAAGTAACATTTGCAAAAGTAGATTATTACTATTAAAATTTAAATAATTGGTACGTACCTGATTTGTTGCTTTCACTTGAGCATCCATATTAGGCTCCAATCTAGTAATTACTTTTTTAAGTCCATGCATCACTTCTCTTATTATTTCATTGGATGAGGTAACACCATATTGGAATTGAGGATTTAAAAATCCATCAAAAATAAAAAGACAATTAATAATTGTAAGTAAATATACATTTTATAATTGAAATCGTAACACTTACCAGCCGTATGCAAATCTTATTGTAATTGAAAAGACCATCGAGTATCAATAATTTTCCAATACTCGGTGTAGTAGTGACAATCTCTTTTAATTGCCAACTTTGCTCTATCTATAGCTTCATATATGAAATCCATTGTTGGCTTCTCATCCCCATTAACCAACCTCAATACTCTGACTAGTGGCTCATGAACTTTACAAAGTTCTATTGCTTTTTGCCAAAACTCCTTTCCCAAAATAATTTTTTTCACCTTGTAAGGCTGCCCAGTCTTTGCCTTCCCCCATTTAGAATTCTTCCACTCATCACTATTAAACATAGCTCTCAATTGTTGTTTATATCTAACAATACTCTTAATGGCAATAAAATTTGTAGCAAATCGAGTGATGGTAAGTCGAATCAATTCTCTATTTCCAGTGAATTTTCTCATTAAATCTAACACCCATCCACTATTATAAATGAAATTGGTGATGGTTTTACCATCTTCAATCACCTTTGTTACACTTTTCTTATTGGCTATGTCTTTTAGCATGAGATCGATACAACGTGCCAAACAAGTTGTCCAATATAAATGTTTTCTTTTTTCTCATTAACATTTTTCCTGTAGCTTTCAGTGCAGGTTCATTATCAATCACCACTTGAACAACGTATTGCTCTCCAATTTCATCAACAACTTTATCTAACAACCCAAAATAATATTCAGCAGTCCTACTAATAATATTAGAGGCATCAATTGATTTGTGAAATATGGTACCTCTATTGCAGTACACTAAGAAGTTGACGATGTGTTACCGAGTTAGATTGTTCCAACCATCACACATGATGGATACACCTCTCTCTAACCAAATTTCCTTGAATGATCTTATCCATTCTGTCATTTCATCATGCTCCATGTTCAAATATACTTCAGAAACTTCATAACCACCAGGACCCTTTACTCCTGCCCCTACTTTAGCAGCAACATCAAGCATGGATTGTGTACACTCTGAATCAACTACATTGAAGGGAATACGATTATAGAGTATAAAATTGGACACTGCCCGTCCCAATCTCTCCCTTAACTTCTGTAAATTCATTGTAGAGATTTTTCGCTGCTTTGTACTCTTGCTCTTTTGGAGTTCTACATCCATTGCTCTCAACCTTGCTTCAAGAGCATTGGGCTTAATCTAATTACGTCCACTTTCACCAATTTCATGCACGGACTATGATCGACGAAAAACATTAGCAATACCTGACCCTTTTGGCATTCTTTGACCACTACCCCCTGCACCAGAACTACCACCTAAATCATACTGTGATCCATGACTATAGACCGCCCCGAACTCTCTCCGTGCGCCCCCCTTTCGGAGAGGGCATGGATTTGGGTTCTAGCTACTACAGTTCGGACTCCTGTCATGGTTCTGAATCTAATCTCACAAAGTGCAATGTAAGACTGATAAATCACCAAAGAGTCCAAATTCAGCAAATCATTTTGGAAAATCGATTTTAATAAAAAAGTGCCAAACATGGACTGCTTTGCCAGATTTCAGAGTCGCCACCTAAATATTTTGTTTTGGAAAAATTTAGGAAACCCTGACTCGTGCCTAAGGCCACGTGTCCGTCATCACCAAAGTTGCATCAGCTCGGGAACTTGGGCACGAGAGGGGAAGGTCCTGAAATGAGCACCCCCGCTCGCTCGATCAAAGATCGGCCTCTACTAACATGATATGTTGTTTTTGAAAACACATGTGTTCTTATTCCGGTTTATTAACCTAACTTACTATGTAATGCGTACAACACACAAGTATAGACTAAATCACTCAATTTGGAACAAAACATCTCATGTTTGTTTTTCGAAAATGGTTTGAAGTTGCTACCCTCAAGTAGGCTAAAGTGCGGATTTGCCACCCTTAAGTGGGCTTAAAACATGATTTGCCACTATCAAGTGGGCTTAAAATGTACATTTTGATGAATTGTTCCAATTCAAGCAATGAAGCCTTCATCCACAAGTATTCATGCAATTAATCATTTAAGCACATAGCCTCATGGCAGTCACTTACATACATGCAAGGATGCTAAAGCATAAACACTTACAGTGTACTCCAAGCCAAAACAGAAGCTAGTTAGTAATCAATGCATGATCCTAGCTATGTCAAGTGCCTAATGCAACACATGCAAAATGCAACAAAGTAGGCTCGGCTATCTAAGATGGCATATGAATGCGACATTTGATATATGTATTCAAAGAAGCGTATTGAAATACAATGCAATTTGAATGATGCGTCGAGCCCGGTGCATGCAATACGAATGAATGATGCACGCATGCAAAGCATAAGTATGCTAATTGAAATATGCCCTAAAACTAACCATCAAAAGCTGGTAAATAAAAGGGAGAAAGACGTGGGGTTGGAAGACATTCACATACACACGCACGCTTATTACAACATTGTGCCCTCTCGACGGAGGGTCTGAATAAAATGAAAGCTAACTAGCTACGCTAATTAAGCTAACTATTACAAACTAACTAATTAACTAACTATTCTAGCTAATTAATTACG